ATCTATCTATCTATCTATCTATCTGATCTATCTCCTCCCTCTCCCCTGCTTGCCAGCACTGTTCTTCATAAGGCCTTTGGATAACCTTCTATTTTACCACCCCCCCCACCCTGCCACCCTGATTTCTTTTTCCAGTTCTGTGTATATTTAATATGCATAAAATGCTGTGTGGAACTCTCAGCTGCTGCAGTGTGTTTGTGCTAACCTTTACAGCAGGGCCCAGGTGCAGGTTTAGGAGAGAGTGACTTTCCCTGGGGGTTCCCAGGTGAAACAGATGCTGATAGGTCTCACGGATCCCATCGCTGCGGTCCCAGGGCAGTGGTGTGTCCACGCAGATTGCCCGTGGGCTGGATGGACAGCTCTCACACTGAGCTCCATGCCAGGGCTGCCAGGTCTCCTTGGTGGGTAAATGGGTCTTGTTTCGTTCGAGTTATATGGAAATCATGCTTCCACACAAGCAAAAATGATAAACTCTGCAGATGGGGTTGCATTTCCTTTTCCCATGTGGTAGAGTGATGTCACGGATACCTTCCTACTTGATGGCTTCTTGCAAGCCTTTCAGACTTTGGACTGGGAACTCCTGCATTACAACCACAGCAAAGTCCTGTATCTGAGCCATGTCCGGGTGGGCAGTGCCCTGCCCCTTTTTGCTTGCAGGAGCAGCGGGGTTTTCCACACCAGCCTTCACAGCACACTTTCCCTGGAGCATGCCTTGCCTCACTGAAGCAAGATCCCTAACCTGGAGGAATAAAATCTTACCTCTGGGTGAAGAAGGGAAGCTGTGGACCTGGTGTAGCTGAAAAAGTACTCCTATTATATATACCTTTGCTCTCACTAGCAGAGAGCCTGATTCCTTTTCTTCCCCAATCTTCTGTAGTTGCTTTAAATTCTGGAATATGTCTTCTGCCTTTTTTTCTGGCCCATTTCAATCAGCATTCTGTTCACTCTGTTGAACTTAAGGGAGTGTTTAACTACCTAGGTGAATAAAGATGCAAATAAGATAACAGTAACCACAGGGCTTTCCTTTTTCATCGTAATATTCTCCTGCTTCTCATTATAAATCCATGTCAGCTCACAACAGTGTTGTGAACCCCTACATTCTTCACTTTGTTTCCCACGTGTTTGGCAGGTCACATTCAGGTTAGGTCCAGGCAAACAAACAGTAATTAAAACTTGTTTGTGGTGTATGATGTTTTAAGTCTACTCTGTATGCCAAACTGTAATCCGTTTCAGAAAACATGAGGGTATGTGTGTGAGTTGATAGAAATTGCACTGTGTATTTTAACTTGCCATTTAGGAGTTGTACATGTCTGTGCCATGACAGGAGTGACCAGTGGCTGTAATGAGAATGAACTCAAATGCCCATTGAAGAAAACAGATTCTGCTTGTTTAGATATGGTTTGTAGACTTTTGCAGTTTGTTTTTAGAACAAGTAATAACAAATCTTGAGTGTGCTACTTGCCATGTACATTTCTAGCACATGTATCTGACTGTGCTACCAAGTTGCCCCTTGCAGAGCTCGGTGGCCTAAGGAGCAGTAGGCAATGTGGCATCAGATGGTGCTGCTGACAGGTCTGTATTTGCTTTCCCAAAACACGCTTCTTTGTGAAAAAAAAGGTGCTAAAATACTGTCTGAAAATGGTATTCCAGTCATGCCTTGTGTATGTTTATGTGTTGTCCTAATTGTTTGGGTTCATGGACATGGCATTAAACTAACCCTTTACCCCACTCAAGAAATCTTAGTATCTGATTATTATCTCCTCCAAACTCCTGAAACTACTTAAAGAATGTTTTTCTGTGTTCTGTTCTTGCTGCTGCCTTTTCCTTCTTTTCAAAAACTTTAATGTTTGTGGGAAAGGATAAAACCAGAAATAATACTATTGTCAGACAGCACATGTGAGACCTGGGGAGAAGTATGTTCAGTGCAGCTCTCTGTAAGCGCTACTGAAATAGGGACTGGAGCTTGTTTGAAGACTTAATTAACTTCTTGCCAAGTGTGAGGCACGACAGCTTTGCATCTGGAACAGTGCAAAGCATTACTGAGCAGTGCAGCACTTCCTTCTTTTTCCTCTGTGGGACACTGAGTAATGCTGAGCACTGGCCCTCACGGGGCAGTGTCCAGATTTTGAGTAGAAGCACAGCACAAGGTGGTGGTCTGAGAAGGGATTCTTCACCACCTCTTTGATTTTTTTGTCAGAAGTGACAGTCTGAGCAAAAGGTTTAAATCTTTGTTAAAATCTAACCAAAATCTGAGCAGACTGTACAAATCCAGAAGCAGGTTTCTGCAGAACTGATCTGGTTGGAAGGTTTCACAGTGGCTCATCGACTCTCGCTGTGGGTGTCTGTGTAAGATCCTAATGCCTGTCCAGATATTTTTGCTCTTGTCCGTGGTGAGCCTGAAGCTGAATCAGAAGCTGTGTCTCAGGTTTCTGTAACCTGTGAATCATTTTAGCGCATTAAGTTATGTGGGATCTGATGATCTGATTTCTGCTCTTCACCTCTGAGTAGAATTAACTCACTGGATTTCAGTGAAAGTTTCAGCACTTCCTATTGTTGCACAAATCTGATCTCTGCATACAGATGTGAGTATCCTGACTTGATAGTGACTGCCCTGAAGAGGACAGTGTGGATTTAGCTGCTGCAACAGCAGAAGGGTTGATGAACCAGCTGCTGTAGCAGTTGTGGCGTAGAAGACTTGAAAATTAACGTTCAACAATGTGAACTTTCTTTATAAATATGTTTTAATAAATATTTATTTTTTTCTTCTAATGACAGGTCAAATGCCAAGACTTTCTAAGGTCAATCTTTTTACTTTATTCAGTCTCTGGATGGAGCTCTTTCCCATGAGCAACAGATCACAGGTAAAATGTTTGTGCTTAATGTTGGTTAGTCTTTCTGAACAGCTCCTGCAGTGAATTTAACCTAACATGACAGATAGTCCAGAGGGAGGGGAAAAAAAACCTAGTAAACTTTTTCCAAATATTTTTTAGAAGTAGAAAAAAATCCATTTGTGGGAGAAAAATAGCAAAATGGCTCAATAGTATGCTATTTCTGAAAAAAGGTAAAATGTTTGTGCTTAATGTTGGTTAGTCTTTCTGAACAGCTCCTGCAGTGAATTTAACCTAACATGACAGATAGTCCAGAGGGAGGGGAAAAAAAACCTAGTAAACTTTTTCCAAATATTTTTTAGAAGTAGAAAAAAATCCATTTGTGGGAGAAAAATAGCAAAATGGCTCAATAGTATGCTATTTCTGAAAAACTTTGAAAGGCAAGGGATACCCCCAAGAGGTAAAGCAAGCACTAAAAAATGGTGGGTGTTTTAAAGACCATAACAAAGGAGGCATGGTCTGTCCTGTGTATATACTAGTTATGGCTTTAAAGTTGGTGTGGTTGATGGCATAGGGGTACTCTTTTAGAATTACAATGTTCATGATTGTGGATGAGTTCTCTTATACAGGGGAGATGCACACAAGAACTTGAAATCTGATTTCAAGTTTGCTGATCAAGAACTTGTAGGTAACTACTTTAGTGACAATGAAAAGAAACTGTCCTTGAGAATGGGTCTTCTAAATTGCAGCCAGTCACACTTCAAAGTAGAGGCACATTTTCAGACTGTCCTGGAACAGAGTTCTGGCTGTGCTCTTCAAAATGATTACAGCGTTGTGCAGAGCATAACCATGTATCATTTTCAGAGCTTGGTATGTCCCTGGCTGGAGCTGAAAAAGGGGTAAATGAGCAGCACCACACAGCCTTCAAAAGCAGTTTCACATTTAGCAATTCAGTTAGGAATGGCACTTGGGTTCTATGCAGGGCTTTAGCACAGCCTCATTTCTGTAACCACGAAGCAGTTGAATAATTCACAGATCTAAGGCATCAGTGTTCGGTAGCAGCTGGATTGCACAATGAGATCTCTTTACCAGCTTCGTCAAACCAGCCTGTATCCAGTTTCCTCACAATACATGGGAATCCAGATGTAATAGCTCTTGTCTGTTGTGTGCAGACTTTTTCCATGGAAGATTGTTTAGAACCAGGATTCATTTCCATAAGTTAAGAGACAGAAGTAAATCAAGAGAAGCTGTGGGCTCCCAGGATGGTCACGCTTAAGACAGGAATTAAATTCATAAGTATTTCCAAATGCTGGTTGATCCAGAGGGGGGTTTCAGCTCTAACTGACAGAATTTTCTATGCTGCTTTTGGATTTTTTTATGGGCAAAGCAATGTCCAGAAAAAGTTTGAAATTTGCAACAAGTTCCTATTTGGAATTTGGCAGAGACATGGCACTCTGATATCAACAGATGAAAACATGAAAACAAAACAACAAACTTAGGAAAGTGATTGTTTCATGATTCCTATCACAATTTGTGCTGAAGAGCTATATGCTCTGCTGCTGGGTGACTACTGTTACCCAAGGAAGAGCTGTAACATCTCTGTGGACTTGATGTTAAAAAAAAATAATAATAGTAATGCATTTTTTCTGTAGGTGAAGAAGAGTGGTCTAGTTGTGGTGAAAAACATGAAGATTATTGGTCTTCATTGCTCCAGTACAGACTTGCATGCTGGCCAGATTGCACTCATTAAACATGGATCGAGACTTAAAAACTGTGATCTTTATTTCTCCAGAAAACCATGCTCAACTTGTCTAAAAATGATTGTAAATGGTAAGCAATGACTGTAGTAGAGCAGGAGTAAATTTTATGCTTGTGATTGGTGAGGTTAGAAAGGTTGGACTGTCCCAGTTGTGAATGCTAATCCCTAATTTGTTTAGTTTGCGCTGGTATTTTCCACAAGGGTGAATGTACACTTCCTGGAGCTGATGGTCAAGAAACTAGGGTTTGCTGCAGAAACCCTGTTTCTCTGTGCAACTATTGGTGGTGGTGGTTGTCTCTTGGCTGGGATGCACTGCTGAGATTCTGACCTACCTGTTGCACTTTGCCACAGCAACCGTAAGCCTGATGATTAGGCCTAGATTGCTACATTTTTACTTGCCCTCCAGTTGCTTCTCAGTTACACCAGAGGAAGGGTGGGTTTTTCACAGGGAGTATCTACGGGTTTCAATTTCCCTAGGGAGATGAAGGCAAGCCAGATTTTTCACTTCCTGAAATGGGATCTGCTGGTACAGCCCTTCTGCAAATATTGATTTGTAACCTCAGCAGTAACGTGTATTCGTGCTGACATTTTTGTGTGGTGTTAATGTATCTGTTGTAGGTAAGAGGCACAAAGATCTTAGAACTTGGGAAACTCCAATTTTTGCCTCTAGTCTGATTATTGAGTTGAATAACCCCTTGACACTTGTATCTACCAGCAATTTTGCTGTCCAGATGCCCCTCAAGCAGCACTCGAGGCCTTAGAGGAGTAAACTCAGTGTTATATGTGAGTTTTATGTTTATGAGTTTATGTTAGGTACTTGCATGATTCCTTTTGCTGCATTGTCTTCTCTTCCAGCCGGGGTGAACAGGATTTCCTACTGGCCTGCAGATCCTGAAATCAGCTTGCAGAATGAGGCATCCAATCCCATGAGTACTGATGATGCAAAGCTAGATGCCAAAGCAGTAGAGAGACTGAAGTCAAATAGTCGTGCTCGTGTGTGTGTGCTGCTTCAGCCTTTGGTGTGCTATATGGTACAGTTTATTGAAGAAACTTCCACCAAGCTTGATTTTATTCAGAAAATAGCAAAATCTCAGCCTGACTGTAATACTGACTTCTATACTGCATGTAGACAGGAGAGGATAAAAGAGTATGAAAGCTTATTCCTAATTTCAAATGAGGAAATGCACAAGCAAATACTGATGACAATAGGACTGGAGAACCTCTGTGAAAATCCATACTTCAGCAACCTTAGGCAAAATATGAAAGAACTTGTCTTGGTCTTGGCAACAGTGGCTGCCAGCGTCCCTGTCTTCGGATGCTTTGGATTTTACAATAGTGAACCACAACGAACAAATGAAACAGATGATCAGTGTTTGCCCCAAGACATTGCAAGGCATTGCATGATACAAGCCAGACTACTTGCATATCGCACAGGTGAGTTCTTACAGTAGTGGAGGAAGAATGGGTCTCTTGAGAAAGCAACTTCCTGATCTCAGGCTTACTCTTCCAAATACTTCCCTGAGCAAGCTGCTCAATTCCATTCTTACGTGTGTGAAACAGGTGCAGCAGTTATAGTTATGACTCCACAGGGGTACATAGTATTGTGTGTGAAAGCTTTCCAAGAGAAAATCAGTTCAGGTATTTCACAGGGCAAACCCTGCCCTGCCAACATGTCCAACACCCATCTGAAAATAGAGCAGAATGACATCTAAATTCTTCAAGCTGCTCTTTTTACTGAGGTTTCACAAGATGCCAGTATTTCAAACAGATTATGTATACTTCTTAAGAAAAAAAAGCAGTGAAATAATATCCTTTCAGGAGGGCGTTAAGTACAGTTATATTAAGCCTTCTAGCTCTAATCTTATTAGTGGAAGTGCTTATATATTTGATGGGGGTTTTCTTTGCACAGATGCTGGAGTTTTATATACAGGCTTCTGGGGTGGAAGGATAGTTATTGATTCTCTTGATAGAGATGACCTCTCAGCTACTTTATTTTGTCTGGGTAGCAATGCAGTAAACTGGTTAAGATCTTTCAGAGAACAGAATATGAAGACTTAAAGCTTGGTGGTACTCCTTAGTGATGCTTTTGCCCTCTAGATAAGATAGTTGCTTTTTTATAAACCATTATAAACTAATAAATAGAACATATATAAAACAAACCAAAACTAATCCCCCAACAGACACACAAAACCAACTTATCAAAGCAAGTACCCTCCACAAATTTGATCACAAAGACTGCAGAGGAGATTGTGTCTTTAGAAGTAATTCAGAAGTTTCATGGAACCAATTGTGAGTTCTTTGTGCAACTAGAGTTGTACAGAGCAAGATAGAATGACAGAATGTTGCTGCTTGGGGCAGCAAAATTCAGTTTTATCTGTGGTATTCAGTACGGATTCGTTTTTTTAGCAAACTCTTATTCCAATTTAATCCTGTAATGAAATTAAAATAAATAGTAGCACACACACATATTTAGATGCTTTACATATCATATAGATGGATGTAAGGGGACCAAGATCATAGAATGTTTTCTGTGCTGGCTTAATCAGTGTTTATCATCTTAATCGCTTCATCAGTGATTAATAGATATGCAGAACATAAATAAAGCCCGTTTGCATAAAATATATCTTTGGCAGGAAAGATCCTCTTTGAGTGATTGTATGTGGTATGTAGTAGTGATACTAAGGATGATGGAAATGATTAATGGAAACAACATGTTCTGCAATATTAATCCATGGAAGCCTGAAACTTTTCTTTCTTCCTGATATGATCTTTCTTAACTGCCCAAGACTCTCATCAATAGCTACGAGGGAAGATTTCCAAGTTCCATAAAAGCCTTCCAAGTCACATAATGAAACTTCTTTTCCAGTTTTCCTATGGTGGTGGCAGAAAACAGCTCTCAAAATCCAATTTTTAATATTTTGTCTCTGAACTGAGTGTAAAATACAACTAATATTGGTAGGAATTCAGTTCACAGAACCATAAACTTATAGAATGGCAGAAATTAAGTAGTAAACAAGAAGGTTTTTATCAGTTTGCCATCTCACATCAGTGAACCTGTCCATGGATATTCTTGGCACACATTTTTTTATAATCCTGTGGGTTACTTCACTGCATTTGTGATACACAGCAGAGTCCTGGAGTGACTGCCTTGTAGTTAAAGCACACCCAGCTTTTACAGTAGGCTCATATGATTTCAAAACTCTTAATCTTTCTGCATTTCTTTCCTCCTGTCCACAGAGCAACAATAAATGTTATTCCTTACTCTAGGATGTCATATGTTAATGGTTAGTTGACTCAGAAGTGCTTTATTTGTTATTTACTCCTAAAATGTTATGTATTGTAGAGGATCATAAAACTGGAGTTGGAGCTATTATTTGGGCAGAAGAAAAATCAGTAAGTATTGAAAAAGTTACTTTTCCTTGCATTCACAGTTCATACACTTGCTTTAAGCTTGTTATTTTCCTTTGAGTTTATGCACTTCTGTTTTTCATACAGACACAGAGCACTATAGAAAGCTTGCAATTTTCATGTAACTAAGTAAGTTAGTGACTGGTTCATTGTTGTGCTGTCCAGATGAAGGGGAAGTATAAATTATTTTTGTAACTATGACAGAGTCTCTGCCTAGCTCTTCAGTGTGGCTGCTTCCCTACTCATTGTCAGTTATTTCAGGTATCCTGGCTACAAAATCTTCCCCCAGCTGCTAATTGGGCAGCATGTGCCTACTCTGCATGGTCCCTCTTTGCAGCTCTGTTTTTTGAGAGGTCTCAGTGCAATTATAGCCTGACAATATCTTGAGGATACTTATTGCAGTTGAAGTGCTCCACTGGCTTTAGCACATTCCTTTTTGGATCAAAGTGGTGCTTTTCTACAAATATTGTTATGGTGCTTTTTCCCATCCAAACATGAAGTTTTTATTTCTTTATATCTCTGATTCTGTATGTTACCAATCCCAGGAAGCCTCATTCTTCATGCAGATGCAACACTTCATTTGTTTTAGCACTTCAGTCATCAGCTGCTTATTGCTGTTTTGTTCCTTGTTCTGATTTCAATCCCTGATTGCTACTTATCAGCCCACTGGTCACTGTGTCTGCTGGGAGACAAGTGGAACAGTTTCTGGCACATCAGGGTTGAACTCCAGCTGTCTTTAATTGTCTACACTGCAGAAAGGCTTAAGGAGTAAACCCTTCAGACTTCTTATCCCTGCTGTCAGTATTACTTGCCAAAAGGAAAGCCTCTGAAGCCTGGTGCAGCATGTCTGAGGTGTTGCACTTTTCCTACAGAGCTCAGTGGAAATGCTCCATACACACATGGAGCAGTCAGCAAGAGCTGAGCTCTCCTTTAACTGCTGTAATTTGGCATGAACTGATAATGTGAAAGTATACATTGCACAACGCTTTGACTGAGAACTCAGTCTAAATACCTCCAAATTTGACGCTTTGCTTACTGTTGCAGAGAAGCTGTGATGGAACAGGAGCAATGTATTTTGTAGGCTGTGGTTACAATGCCTTTCCTGTTGGATCTGAATATGCTGATTTTCCACACATGGATGATAAGCAAAAAGATCGGGAAATCAGAAAGTTCAGATACATTATACATGCGGAGCAAAACGCCTTGACATTCAGGTAATGGGTTTATTTTTACTACAGAAAAGAATGAGATGGTTCAGGAACAATTCCACAACAAATGGGTGTTGTGGTTTAAGCCCAGCTGGCAACTAAGCATCACACAGCCACTTGCTCACCCCCCACACTTGCACAGGTGGAATGGGGAGGAGAATCAAAAGTAAGACTTGTAGGTTGAAGTAAGAACAGTTTAATAATTGATAATAACAATAATAGTAATAATAACAAAAAAGAAGATAAAACTCAAGGAAAAACCAAGTGTTGCAATTGCTCACCACCCACTGATCGATGCCAGACCCCTTGCAGATGATTCCCTCAGTTTATACACTGGGCATGACATTCTATGGTGTGGAATATCACCCGGGCCAGTTCGTGTCACCTGTCCTGGCTGTGTTCCCTCCCAGTTTTTTGTGCACCTCCTTGCCAGCTGGGCATGTGACCATGAAAAGTCCTTGACTTAGGATAAACATGACCTAACGACAGCCAAAACATCAGTGTTTCATCAACATTACTCTCTTAGTGTGTCCGAAACACAGCATTGTATCAGCTACTGAGAAGAAAATTAAGTATGCCAGCCAGAACCAGGGCAATGCATGATGTCACTGTGATGAAGTGTGGATTGCAATCATGGTCTTGTTTATGCTTGTGATGTAGAACTTGGGTGTGTATGGACCCAGTCAGCTCCTGGGGTTTTTCAGACTCTTTAAGTGAACTTGTTATTTAAAGAATATCCATTCCTTCAGTTACCCTTAAGATACAAGGCACTGCCTCTGCTTCCTGCTAGACCATGCTATAGTCTCAAATATGGAAGTGTGGCAATTGATGAGGCTTCCAGCAATGATACTCGTGGAGATGTGGGATGCGTGTTTTGTTCACAGATAGTAAACCCAAACCAGATACCATTGTGTACTTGTGCACTTGATTAGGAATAAATGGCTTCTGAGAGCAGATAACACTTCTTTGCTTCCTCTTGTGAGGTATTAATTTTACCGTGATTCAAAACTGTCAAGATTTAAACTCTGAAATTCTGTTTTCTGCCTGCTTGTAGGTGTCGAGAAATAAAGCCAGATGAAAGAAGCATGATATTTGTGACAAAATGTCCCTGTGATGAATGTGTCCCTTTAATTAAAGGAGCTGGTATCAAGCAGATCTATGCGGGAGATGTTGATGCTGGAAAAAAGAAAGCAGACATATCTTATATGAAGTTTGGTGAACTCGAGGGTGTAAGCAAATTTACAGTAAGTGTCTAAATGTCTAAAAGCTGTGGGCAGCATTGATGGGAGAATAGAGTGAGCAGTTAACCTGCAGCCAGCATAGAGGAGTGTTGTGCTGTTGAGTCAAGTGAGTGGAATGAGGGCTTGCTCAGTCACAATACTGGGAAGAAGTACTGTGCCATAAGCCACATAGTGGGGCCAAGCATCTGTTTTCTTTATCTGCATTGAAGATTTCCCTCCAAGCCTCCCCTGTCACAGCATGCCAGCTGATGTGGGAGATCACTGTGTGATCTTGTAGGCCCTTCCAGGAGCTCCTGAAGGAGCTGCGGTGGGTTTTGAAGGTGGCCCCAAGTGTACCTCACTCAGGGCACTCACCATGACAAACTGCAGCACTATCGGTTTGAACAAGTTTGTTTCCCCTTTTTCAAGGGACTAAATGGTTACACATCCTTTAGTAGCTGTTTATTCCTAAAGCAAGTGTGTGTTTGAGGGGAGCCCTTCATTTCCTGCCTCATCCCTAGTCATGCCTCACAGTGAAGGACTCTAGGGTACTTTTCCTTTCTCCCTTTGCTCCTTGGTCTGTTTTCTGGAATAAGTTAACATTTTCTTCCTCTTTTACCAGTGGCAACTGAATCCATTGCACACTAATGCCCTTGAATTCCATGACCCTACAGCCAGGGAAAGTAAGTATTTCTTCATTAATTCATTTTACGACTGAGGTCAATAAGTGAGATCAGGTTTTAAACAAACCCAAATCCCTCTGGAATTCGTTAGTCTTAATCACGATTTCAATGCATTAAATTTTGCTATGAAGACTTCTCTGAGCTTTTTGGATATATGAACTAACTAAATCAAAACCAAGCTGGTTTTAACAAATGCTTGGCATTGACACACGTTACAAAATCTAGTCATGCTGTTATCACTATCAACAACATGCTGGTTTGCACATAGGTCATTTTGGACTAATTTATTGCTTTATTCTATAAAGACATCATACTGTGTTCTGATAAGAGTGCCATTTTTTCAAGTCATTTGTATGTGTGGTGCAGAACACTTCAGTGCTTCTTTTATATTTGCGTGTATATATGCACATGTGTACTATAAAGGTCACAAAATCCTTGTTGTCACACACCCCTGAAGCAAGGGAGCTGTCATCTTCTAAATACACAGTTTAGAGAAGTCTTAGGTTGAAGCCTTTGGTGCTACAAAAGGGACCCACCATAGGCATCTACTGTCAGCTACCAAACCTTAAAATGATTCTTGTCCAGAGGGGAAAATAATGTGGAAAAAGCTGCTAGATAATTTTTGTTCCTCAAGCATGAAGATACGGAGTGTAAAGGTAGGGAGTTTGCAGTTACTCAAAGCATTGAATACCCTGCTAGGGGTATAAAAAAGAATGAGGGTGTTTTTTTCTAGCACACGAATAGACACATATTCCAAGCTAATTCCTAATGTAGTGAGATAGGTTACTGGAAAAGTCTTTGTTAGCTACTTCCTTATGTTCCAAGGGAAGGTGGGAGAGAAGGGCTCGGAGTAGTGTTTATGGCAGTAGTGATCACTGCAAAATGTTAGGGCTTGTTTGTCCCTCTCTCTGTTAATGGGTTTTAGACCCAGCTGGAGAAAGGTTTGCCTTGGGGTACTTTGTTTGACAACCTTTACCATGGCTCGTTTCTTTAACAGTGTTTTCTTTAAGATGGTGCTCTTGCATTTTCCACACTGAACTGTTTCAACCTGCTCTTTCCTTAGTATGTTCCTCTCAACTATGTTACTGCATGTTCCTCTGTAAGGGGAAGAAGGCAATCTCCACCCCCTCCCCACCCCCAGTGTTATTCCAGTGTGCCTGTATGTCTTGAGTATTTAGATTATTCTTGGTATTGCCTTAATGTTTCATGTGTATTTTTTAATTTAGATGGGGTCCAGAAAACAAAATCTCTGGATGAACAGCAGCACCAAAACAAGAAACTGTGTCTTGGTCACTACTGAATAATTAAGCACTTCTGCAGTCTTGCTCCATACTTTTTATAATACAGCCTGTTTGCACTTTCAAATAAGGAAGAGTTTTATTTATTGTTTGGAAAGTGAATTTTAGAATAAGTTTATTTATGATGTCTTTAATGTTTTATGGAATTACCTGAGGGTCTTTTAATTTAGAAGCTCCTGGCGAAAAAATGCTGCTTTTTTATTTCTGTGAAAGTAACTGGGTGGCTAATTATTGTTAACAGGTTTAAAAAGTATACTGAAAGTTTATTGATGGTAGAGCAGAGAAAGAATAAAACTGTCTTTCTTGCTTGGTGTGTGGATTGAGGGAGTGAATTTCTAAGTTCTGGACTAGCAGAATGCAGAAATAAGCCCTAGTTCTTCAAATACAATCATCAAGGGAATCTTCTAGGAAACAGTAGATAAATAATCACCAGCAACTATTCCTGTTCCCAAAAGTGGCTTTTGCTTCTCAGTAAAATGGACACAAAAGCATTGGGATAGCAATCATTGCTAGGTAAATGATTTGGAGATCACTCTTGTCTCACTGTCTTCCAACTACCATAGCAGCAGAGCTGTTTTCTGTATGGTACTTGCCTTGCTGCTCTGTGTGCTTCCTCATATGCAGTCCATCTTGATTAATGAAGACAAAGATAAGCTTTGCTTTTTGTCAGCTTCTGGATGCAGGCCTAAAGCAATTTGGCTGTATGCAGCTCACTGGCCCCTACATACTATGTGAAGATTGCTAGTGTTTGGGTTTTGTTAATCTTCACTAACAGGCTTATGGGACTACAGAAGCTCATTGTCAGATGTTCCTTAGACAGGATGATCTGTACCAGTGGAATAGTCCAAATCTTTTCAGGTGCCAGTCTCTCTGGATGACTAGGCTGGAGCAAGGGTGACATTAAAACAGCCAGTGAAACTGCAGTCTAGTGCTGTTGGTAGTTTCAAGGGGATAGGTAATGGGTAACCAGAAGAGAGTTGTACCCTGCATCTTTTGAGAAGTCTTCCTCCTTATTCCCATCTGTTTGCTGCTTTGAATCTGACCTATTTGTTTTAGCAAATGTACCGAGACTTTCTGTTCACTCCTCTGCTGAGCTCTCAAGTGCAAACACCTTAAGCCTTTTTCTGCAGCTGCTGGTGGGATATTTAAACATCCCTTTCCCAGTTCATTCATGCATCTTGTCTTTGCTGCCCACCTTAAAGTCCTAGAAGGGAAATCATGTCTTAAGATGCTGCTATACGTTCTCTTTATTTCTTTTAGGTTTTGGAAAAGTTTGGAACTAGATAGCAAAGCTGTGATAGGATACTCTTAACATGACATTCATTATGTGGAGTCTGTTCTTACCCAGTTTGGCTACTGGTCCTGTAATTTAAGGTACAGTTCTTGATGCTTGAATCTGCAGGAAAGAGCTATGGTTCCCCATGGCTCATTTTTGAGTACCTGGACTTTAGAACTGGGGAATGCTTATATCCTCTTACCACCATGAGAATTCTCTTTTCCTGGAGCTGGAGAAGCTGCTGTTTCTCTGAGCCTAGGTAGATTGAAGGCTATTCCAGGGCTGCTGGTTGAGTGTGGTACCTGCAGGGTTAGCAGCAGAAATTCCATCAGGGAACTGGCTGACCCCCTGCACCACTGCCACCTTGCTAAGGCTGCATACAGCTTCATTTCCCAGGACCAGGTAGAGCATGAAAGAGAAAAATCTGACCCTGTTTCTCAGCTAAGGGGGGGATGATGAAATTCATTTTAGTATCAGACACCTCAAAAGAGTGTTTTCTCACAGTAGCTCATGAGGACATTGCTGAGCTGCCACTTCACCAGGTCTTGTCATCTGGTGTTGAGGAACCCAGGTCCTGAATGCAGGATGAGCAGATCCAGCTGCAAGAGGATTAAGTTATTGATCTGGATGCTGTACAAACCTCAGAAGGACAGTTTTTTCCTCTGATCAAGGATTCTCTAGTTTCATTGTTTGCAGCTTTCCTATGAGGTTAAAGTCAAATGTGTCACAATGGGTTTTTAAATCATAAATATTTTATTTGGCATATTTGCTCCCTCACTTCTTGTAAGCATCTTGTGTCAGAATAATTACTCTTAGCTTTTTCTACAGATCAGAAGAACACTGTCCAAATTAGAAAAAAAAAATCTGCCCCACTCCACCCACTGAAACCTTCTTGTTTCCACAGTCCATTAGCAATGCTCTTCTACTTGAGGTAGAAGCAAGGAAAGGAACAGGGCCAGGTTTAAGGCCCCTTCAAGTTTTATACTGATTGATCTGCTGGTATGAAAATTGGTTCAATCTATGTCTTTATAGGAAAAGCTGAAATTTAAGTCCTCGAAATACCATAGGTGGGCTGGGTACACAGAGAAGTAAATCAAGATACAAATCAAGTATCACATACATGAAATAACTACACTGCGGTGAATGCTGCTGGTAACCTGTACTTCAGGAGGAGTTAGGATTCTACCTTTACTTTTTACCATTTTTTTAAAAAACAGGATTTTTGTACAAAACTTTCTGTGAAACTTGGAATTGCTTGCAAGGCTGAAGGCTTGGAAGCCTGGCTTTATTTCTGTCTTGCTGTATTCTACAGACTCCTCCAGAGGCTCACAAATTTCTGTAGGCTCTGATTATTGGTGTAACCAGACTTCTTTCATTTTTACTGGAATGACAAAGTAAAGTCTGTATCTTGGCTCACAGGAATAATGTGAGTGGGATTTTTCTCTCAGCCTATGGACTCTGTAGGTGCTGCTGTGCTTGTCTGCTTACCAGGGAGAGCCACAGAAGATTGGACATCTCCTGCAGTGCTTGTTTTGCAAATGAACTCTAGGATATTTGTTTCTTACATAAAAACTACAAAGTATTTACTCAAGAAATGTAAAAGTTATATATTTTATATATTGTATGAAATTTCCATATGCATTTTGGGTCTCTTCCATTCATTTCAGAACAGTCATCTTAATTGCAGGTATTAACGATCAGTAATAATTTGGCCTCTTGACTGAGAATTACAGAAATTCTCTGTTAATTGTCTGCCTTACAGCAAAACATGTTTTCTGCTAATAAATTAATCCGACAGTAAGTACTGAAGAGTGTATTTTTAAGTGCCTTGGGTTATTAGGAACGTTTCAGAGTGCTTTGAAATGCTCACACCCTCTGTGGGCCCAGTGCTGCCCTTGCTCCTGCAGCTCAGTTTGCTGAGCCACATAGCCTCTCTCTGCTCTGCCTGAAGAATTTGTCTCAACATGAGACTGCCTCCTGCCAGCCTTGGGAAAAGGCTGGGATCCCCTTCCTCTGCCTGTGAGCATTAATTCCTTCTTCCTCAGGAGGGTAAGAACTGCCTCAGGGAGCACTGTGTGAGCTGCCACCTCCACAGCCTGTTCCTTGGTTGGAAAGGACCATAGTGGACAAAAGTTGACAATCCAGCAGTACAACTGGTCCCTGCTTTGCCTCCTGCCTTGTTGCCCTGGACTGCCTCTGTGGGCATACACAGATGTCCTAATTCCCAGCCACCACAGAGCTGTGAGGGATAGCTGTGGTGACTGGGGCCAATGGCTGTGCCAGTCTGCAGTGTGGCTGAAGGGGAGTGAGTCTGTAGCATGAAGTGGGTGATGCTGGGGGTCTGACCCATCAGGGATTTTACATCCAGCTAGTTCCAGCCTGGGCATGTGAATTGAGGGCCTCATAGCCAGTGGAGTGCATTAGGGCTATCCTACAGTTTGTTTTCCTGTTAAACTTAATCTGAAAGGAAACTCAATGCCCTCCAAGAGTTGCTCGTGTCACGGAGCCACATGCAGTAAGCAGGGACAGATGGGAGATGCCTTTCAGAAGTGCTCTTGAACTGAAATGTCACAGTAGAGACACGGTGAGCAGTAAGGAGCACAGCCAGGCTGGCAGTGGGACAGGCTTCCCAGAGCCATGTTTAATGTGGAAACTACTCTTGAAAAGCTTTGCAGTCCTCTAAATAGATTTTTTTATTTTCAACCATTGTGCCTGCAAATCAGACTTCAAATTTCTGGCTTTAATTTGTTAGCTCCATTAAGTGACACTGCTTGGAGAATAGGAAAGCAAAGAAGGCCGATGATGCCTGCTGATTTCTAATAGATCTTGATTACTGTTGTACAGGGTTTGTATGACATGGTTTTGGTAGTGGGTGGCTTCAGGGGTGGGTTCTGTAGGAAGCTGTCAGAAGCTTCCCCCATTTCCAGCGGAGCCAATGCCAGCTGGCTCCAGGATGGACTGCCCGCTGGCCAAGGTCAGGTCAATCAGAGACAGTGGTAGCACCTCTGGGATAATGTATTTAAGAAGGGGGGAAAAGCCAAAAGATAAATAAAGCCTGCACGAAAGCACTTGCAGACAGAGAGAGGAGTGAGAATATGTGAGGGAAACAACCAGGGGAGGAGGTGCTCCAGGAGCTGGAGCAGATTCCCCCGCAGTGCAGACCGTGGTGTGGCACTGTCCCCTGCAGCCCATGGAGGAGCCCATGCTGGAGCAGGTGGATGCTCAAGGTAGGCTGTCACCCCGTGGGAAGCCTGTGCTGGAGCAGGCTCCTGGCAGGACCCGTGTCCCCATGGAGAGAGAAGCCCACTGGAGCAGGATTGCTGGCAGGACCTGTGACCCTGTGCAGGACCCACGCTGGAGCAGGCTGTTCCT